TGCCAACAAACTTGTATTTATTGAGTTTATGTAGATTCTTCGCCATTTTGATTATAGTGTAGGGTTCTTCTGGGACTGTAGAAGAATCTTTTTCAATGTCAGCATACAAGTTTTGAATTAAAAAATTCCGGTCAGTGTTAAACTCAGATTTTTAATACCTGTGTAACAAATTAAGTTGGAATACTCGCATTAGAAGTGCGTAGAGTAAAGGTCTGCCGGCCCCGAAGGACCGGAGAGATGAGATCACGGAAACATCCCTTTCCCAATTTTTGCGAATATTCCCGGGTCCGACAGTCGGACAATATTTCAGTGAACCTCGTTCCGCCATTTGCGGAACAAAAGGCAACGCGGACGCGGAAGCGACACGCTGAAGAATTGCGGTGAAGAAGAGGGTTGAAAGAGCGCTCGCCCTTCTTTTTCGACTTCCTGGTTCACCTGAGCGAGTGCCCCCCCGTGGCTTAGGTAGCATCCACGGATCCAACCGCCGGCCACAAAACTCCGCCGATTGTCTGTCAATACCGTGGAGTAAACAATATTGTTCACTGACCAGGTAAACGGGCTGGAGGACTACCGGTGCACCGGAATTTCGCAACCGAATCCAATTTAAAAAGGTGGAAACGCTTGCCGCAATTTCGTCTTTGGAATTCAATGCATGTACGGTGGTAGCTGAAGCGTCACCGAAATCTACCGGTAACGCTGTATTATTTTTATTCTTCTTCTGTCTATTTCTCACGTTACGTTCACTCCGCAATTTATTCTCGAACTTTTTCACACCGTTCTGACATTTTACTAGAGTTGATATTTGAAAGCGTCGCAATTTCAGACGTTCCTTATTATTTGACTGTAAAATACATAGCAGGAAAGGCATTGGAAGGCTTTAAGAATATTGTCACGCTATTCTCAATTTATTAAAACTATCGAAAGAAGAAATACATTTATGCGTTTCACAGTCTAATTATTATTTCGCATGAAAGAGGGTGCGCGAATCGATAGAATTACATATCGGTACATTCTGATTGTTTTTACTATTTATAAAATAATCATTTTTATTAGAGTAAATGTGTATATAAGTATATAAGTAATATATATATTAATAATATAAAATATAATAATATATAATAATATATAATATAATAATATAATATAATATAATATAATATATATATATATAATAATATATAATATAATAATATAATATAATATAATATAATATATATATATATAATAATATATAATATAATAATATAATATAATATAATATAATATATATATATATAATAATATATAATATAATAATATAATATAATATAATATAATATATATATATATAATAATATATAATATAATAATATAATATAATATAATATAATATATATATATATAATAATATATAATATAATAATATAATATAATATAATATAATATATATATATATAATAATATATAATATAATAATATAATATAATATAATATAATATATATATATATAATAATATATAATATAATAATATAATATAATATAATATAATATATATATATATAATAATATATAATATAATAATATAATATAATATAATATAATATATATATATATAATAATATATAATATAATAATATAATATAATATAATATAATATATATATATATAATAATATATAATATAATAATATAATAATAATTAATAATTAATAAGTAATATATATATAAGTATATAAGTAAATGTACATATATTGAAACACCATTTAAATGTTTGATTGCTTGAAAAATACATTTCACAGATATTACAGAATAGTTTATTTAAGTAAAAAAAATGATTCCTTGATTATAAATAAAATCTTAAACGGTCATAAAAGAGTGACAACGAGATGATTTCGTTGTTTATATATGTATACCCAATGTCGTCTAACAACGGTAGAAGGTTTACAGAGACCGTTGCGATTAATAAAGACAGTTTTTTGAAGAAAAAAAATTTGATTAGCGAGCACAAAGTTATCTTCTCGCAAGCCAGAAAAAAGCCAAGGTGCGTTTCTTGCTGTTAGAGGAAAACCTTGAGGGATGCGGGATACGTTATCATTCAGTCGTTCGCTGCGAATCGTTCGATCTCGCACTTAGTAGTGGCAACCATGCCAGTGTTCGTCACAGTTCCTAGACCGGCTTAACCGGCTCAACTCTACGATTCGCCTAGACAGAGAAGCGAATCCTCTTCACTTTTACCGCGAAACACACAGAAAAGCGCGAGCTGCTTGAACCGTTTTCCGTGTGCATCTACGAGGCCCGGGAATCGTATGCGTGAGCTCATAACACAACGACGACAGGCTGCGCTTGTAGACGTTGGAAGACGCATGCTACCCAGCCATTGAATTATGGATCCGAAAGGAGAAATTGTGAATTAACATCGAAATTCTCTGGATTTGCAAACAAACCACCGTCGTTCGCTCCCAATTATAAATCATTCTTGCGTGCTTCTTTAGAACACCGAGAAATCGGATAACAATTAGCGTTTAATATTGTTCGGTGTTCCATGGACGCCTAGCCTTTGTTTTCGAATTGTAAAACAGTCCTTCGACAGAAGGAGTAAGTTTCTTCATTTATATAACAAGCGATGAAAATTATTGCTATTTGTTATT